CAAACTTTCCAACTCGGTGGGAACGTAAAATGAGGAAGAGGCTCGTAAAAGAAAATATATCACTCTGTCAAAATGTGTAATGAGATAGCTCACTTCACTCTCACTCTCATCGAACTGTTCGTGTACGCGGTTGAAAATACACTGTACCCTCTGGCGGAGGTAGGTTTTCAATTTCTTCATCCCTTAACAAGTTCGCCATATTTCCCAGTATGTCAACTACTTCATGTAATTCATGGGCGAATTATACCTATTCTGGTTCATAAGCTAGCGCGGTCAAATAGCCGAAGCGAAACGACGAAAGGAAACATCAAAGAAGCGAAACAACGAGACGAGTGACAAACAAGGGAACTAAGTCAACGGGGCGACGAGACGACGGGACGAATTGGTGGACGAGACGACGGAACCAAGTAACGAAGTGACACAAAGAAACGACGAAACAACGAAGCGACTACACGAATCGACGGGTCGAACATTTTGTCCACGATTTGACTTGATACAATTTGCGGCAGGTGTGATGCGTTTTTTTCAAAGAAATGCTAATCAAAACTTACCATAATTAAAGTACTTACATATGTATTACGTTGTGTTTAACGCTGTACAAATGTCTGTTGAAAGTCAGGATCGGGCGAGTGGGCCCTTGGTTCACTGCGCCTCCGCGGGCCGCGGCCTGCCTTTAGCAAACCCATAATAGAATAATCTAATTTTGTGTTACAAGTAGAAAATTGCAATTTAAGCGATTGAATCGTATTTTGCCAGTAACGACACTCCTACTCTCACCAGCACCATAACTAACCCATTGGATGTTTTAGTCATCTGCGAAGCTTGAATTAGCGTTGTCAGCAGCACAAGGGATACCTGCTGTTAACAGAACTAGGAATTTTCTTTGAGAGGAGGAGTGGGCTGAAAATGTCGCCCTGAAGGGACATAAACAAATCAGGAAGATTGCCCTTGATGCAATACTGTTGGCCTTCCAATTCAAGTGCACTCTTAGGAATAAATGGAAACACTCGTATAATTATGCAAATTATAGTTAATTAAAGCCACTGGAAAACCCGTGTACAATCAAACTAAAAGAACTCAAAAGTGTCATCAAATGTTAGGTTGTATTGGGCAGTTTGGATCTTCAAGTATTTGAACATGGTTCTGTGCAGTGCTCGCTTGTGATAAATTGTCGTTCACATACCTGTTATGAAAATGATACAAGTCAGTTTAATCCATCTGGATCACATTTACTTAAATGGCTATATCAAAAATGATATCTACAACATTAAGGAGGCTAAAAATATCACGAATATTTATACACTACATTTAGTAATAGTATATATTACACCTGATTTAAATAAAACGCTATCGCATTACAAATTCAAATTTCTTTGCAAATCTTTGAGGCCTTATAGTTCATGGTTTATACTTAAAAAACAACTTTTTCTCAATCAGGTATATATAAGATATGAGTTCTTATGCACTACGCAGCATGCCGCGCAACTCATGAAAGGGAACGATTGACTTAATAACAATAATATAACAACAATTAAAACTTATATAGCGCAACTTTCCATGGGACATGATCAAATGCGCTTAATAACGTGTTCGAGGAATACTTTCATTAGCGAACAATTCTTGCAAGGACCACTGGGGCAAACAGCAGCGATGGAAAGCCGAATCTCGGTGTAGATCAGCAATGTAGAAAAACACTTAAAATTGAAGGCAAGGCTGATCGGACAGCTATGGTGGGTAATTTATTTGCCCAATATTTCGACTAGACAAAACCACCTTTCGTCAGGGCTTGTTTCGAAATATTGGGCAAATAAATTACCCATCCACAGTTGTCCGATCAGCCTTGCCTTCAATTTTAAATGCTTTAATTGCCTAATTTTAAACCGAGCAGGGCTGTGTACGAGTCCGTTAGTTTTGCAAATTTCTCAAGTTTGGTGTTAATCGGGTCAATATTGAACAACACTCAGCTATTTAAAAACCTAAAAATTTACTAAGAGATGCATGGATTGCTGGACACCCCGTCCAGTCGTCTATATATGTCTCAGTATTTTTTTTAGTTTTTGAATAGCTGTATCTTGTTCAATATAGACCTGATCAACAACTGACTTGAGAAGTTTGCAAATCTCGGTTTTCTCTTTCTGTCTTTGTGGTCTCTTGTTGTCTATTCCATAATGAACAAATTCGTATCCGCCCCCCCCCCCTTTCGGTTTACATTTAGGCAATAGGGTAGAATCTGGAAGATAACTCAGTTATTCACTTAGGCAATTTAGATCATAAAAAATCATTTAAATTAGTGCGGCACTTCGGGATACAAATAAAATGCTAATTTAGTGCACGAAGAGCTAATAGTATTTCTCTACTGTAAAGAATACCGTAATCAAAAGTGTTATTATAGCAGCCAAAACGACATCTAACATGAAAAGTAAGGTCATTCATTTCACCGCAACAAGAAACACCCAAAAACTTGGTTACCTAGTCTCTGAGGCTCGTGTTCGGTAAATTTGTCTCTCCAGTTCAAACTTGAAATTAGTTACCTTTTTGCAAAGTCTTTAACTTTGGCTGAATATTTGGTATTGACTGATAGAACTTAATTACGTTACTCCTTGATCATTTTGGTAATTAACATGAAGCAGGGATTCGGAAAGTTGTGTCCATCCAGAAGCGTAATAGATAGATGAAAACATTCCTAAACCTGTCAATACGTGATAGCGTGGGGGAATCCCATTGATTGTAATTCGGGGAAATAAATTTGAAAATATTATAATCAGTATAGAATTGAAAACATTTTTAACTATGAAAAATCTTTGTAGAAACCATATATGCGAAGTGTTCTGAATTAACAACATGGATACCTAGGCCGTTTTCTTGATGATCACGCCAGTTAACTATATATACAACCACCAGAATTCAATTTCTTTTATATATATAGTTTCTTTATTGTATGTATCTTGCTAAGATTTAAAAATAGTTGCCCCGATTTGTAAATGAAAATAACTACCTTGAGGATTGTGGTAGTTTTAGTTATTTGTTGTTGTCTACCACAAATGATGTCATTTTACCTGTCTCTCGTCATAATGACAATGACCTATTGTTTTCTCCACACAGCGGTTTCAGAACACTTCTTCATTGCATTGACCATTTGGAAAAGTATTGCATGGTTTGAAATGGGGTTTTTCCATATAATTAGTCTTTTTGTTAGTTTATCCTCTCGATCTTTTACCGTCTTGATGAGAATTGGAGTGGAGCACTTGGCCATGTTGTGCATCATTTTTCCTTGTCCTTTGTATTGCAGTGGTTACGAAATGACGTTATGTAAGTGACAATGGGTTATAGAAATTTTTGAGGAAAATAGAGGCCATTTCCACTTTCTTGTGCAAAACACGCACAAGAAAATCAACAAATTGTTTATTAAACCAATTTATGACCTTGAGCCAAAAAAAAAATGCAATTCATTCTTTTGCTAGCTTAAATGAATCTTAATTTTCTGTATATTCTAAGACGGCAGCTCTTAATGAGCTCCTTATCGGGTCGAGTGTCATCCCGATCAAAGAAAACACGATGCGGATTGTTCTATGAAGGGGCTGAGCCAATTTTATTACCCAGTATATTAAACATCCCCCGCACATGTGACCCAGACGACTTGTTTCAAATTCACGACGAATGAAAGCGATTTTTCAGAATTCTTGTGTGCTTTCCGCGGATCGTTCATGCTAATGTTGGGTGAGGATTTTTAAGATATTGGACGTATTTACACAGATACTGAAGAAAATTTCCGCATTTTAATCGAAATCGCTAGCCGGAAAACGGTGGAAAGAGGGATTAAAGAGAGAGATAATTTATTCAAACAGGCGTTAAGGATCGAGGTAGAAATTGATTGTTCAATCATCTGAGCCAGAAGCTCATTTTAAAACGCACAACAATCTCTTCTAATTAACACAAACCAAAGTGAAATATGTATTTCACATTAAAAGATCTTAAAAACCCTAATTGTTAAGTAAAGTGATTTTTTAAAATGATAAAAATAATCCTAAGATAGGTCAATGCGTTAAAATAGACTAGTCCTAGTGATAAAATAATCAAAACATTAAAAATAAATATTCCCAAGAATGTGTGTAAATATTGTTTTTATGGAAACAGGCAAAATCGTATGCTGTTCATATATAATTCGAGCACTGTTATGAAGTCTTAAAATTCTGAAGTTGATATTCTATGGTCAGTTGCAACAAACAAAACATCGATAAATAGGAAACAATCTCGAGGCATTTCAAACTTAAAAAAACCTTTAACCTAAAAGGTGAGAGAAAACATGGAATGCTAAAACGATAAATTGTTGTGAATGGTTTTTGCTCTCGGTAACGTAAAACAAAATTACAGGGTCGCGCCGGTTCTTGGTTCAAGTTCCCTGGGTAGCACACACGCATGTCCAGCTTATTATTCTATCAACCTTTTAAAATCATCATAACGCCTGGATTGTCAACTCGAGAACCAGACAATAATACTTGCTCCTGCTCGAAATCCAGGATGGCCGCCATGTTGAATTTTGATAAAGATCGTTCAAGTAAGAATAAAAATACGTGGGGTATCAACAAGCTATAATTAACACTTCTCTTTTTGGCACTTCTAAGCTCAAAAAGGTCGTTTTGTGGCTTGATCTTATGTTGCTAATGACGTGATACGTGTGGTAACCAACCGACCGTCTCAAAATTTTCCTTAAATGTGGATTGAGAATAAATGAATGACAACCGAAGGAAAGACTACTTTTACGGCTCGAAATTTTTCTTTTATTTTAAGGCTACTTAAACATTTGTTTATCATATTGTGGACTGGCAGAGACTTGTCATTCCTTGCCTTTATTACAATATACTATTACCATGTTACATTATATACCTGAAGAACGGCTCCATAATGACACCAGAAAGTCAGTGTTTATCACCATTATGATCATTTTGTGCTGGTTTTCGTCATACACTAACATAAAATTCGTCTATCCACTTCAGTTAAACATGACGACCCGCTCTCTGGTATGTCAGTTAGTGGTATTGTTGAGCCTGGGGACAGCGTTCTCTAAAAACTTACCTGATCATAAAGGCTCAGTCGAAGACATGGAAACAGCCGAACCCGAAATCGGAACGCTGGATGAGATCGCTGCTTTAGATGAAATTAGCGATGACAACCTGTCTGAAGAAGACGACGATGATTTTGGTGAAACCGACAATGAGAAGTTGGCCGAGGATCCATTGGCAGCAAGAAATATTTCACCCTCCAGAAAACGCCAAATACTAAGTGAGGCTAGGCGCCTTGCCAATTTTGTTAGCAGGAATATATACGTGACACCAATGAACCGAAAAAAGGAACGAGAAACAGCCATGAGAAAGTATTACCAGGCATTTGTACACGGAGGAAAGAGCTTTATTAGTGACGCCGACTGGCTGACAGCAAAAAGGGGTGAAATATGCAGCACGTGTCTCTTATATGAACTCTGCAAACGAAGGCGTATTCAATGGTTGTTGAACATCGACGGCATACACCCTTTGTAAGTATTTTAGCCCATGTAATCGGTTAAAAAAAGAAAAGAAAAACAAAAGAGGAAGAGAAACAAACGATCTGTGGCCCGTTGTAGTAGTTCATAGTAATAAACAGCGCTCTAATCTAGTTCCCAGATGGCTACAAAAATAAAAAATACTTATATGTAAGGAGCCAGTGAGGACAGAATTTCGGTTGGGCCTGTCATGATAAGTTACTTCTACGATATGTCGCTCTCGCGGAACGCACACCGGCAAACGGATCGTTAAATTCTAGAAACCTGGGTTTTGAACGACGTATAAACCTACCTCAACATGCTGAAATCTTCTCAAGCTATCCTTGCCATGGCACTATATCTCCATCGTCAAAGCAAATTTCCTAGAAATAACTTTCCATCAATTTTAGGGAGACAAAAACTTCTGGATCAATTTAGGTTTCTGGGAAACTGCCCACCTACCCCTCCCCTAACTCAACGTCAACATTTGCGTCTCACTTGGGGTAAAATGTTGGGTTAGGGGAGGGGTAGGTGGGCAAATTCCCAGAAACGTGAATTGATCCAAACTTTTTATACTCTCGCGCGGTCTTTATTGTTATCTTATTTGTCTGCTTATCAGGAATGTAAGGAGGAGGATGTGCAGACGAAAACTCGTCCGAGTAGCGATTAATGTTTACCCCGTGACTGCAATCAACATGCGATGTAATCCAAATGCACCATTTCGAACCATTGATGGATCGTGCAACAACTTACGTAATCCTTCTTACGGGGCAGCCAATACAACATTCAACCGACTTTTACATGCTGATTATGGCAACTGCATCTCAACTCTTCGCCGAGCGAGAAATGGTAGAGAGCTTCCGAACGCGCGGGACGTAAGTCGATTTGCCCATGGAAGCAACGCGGACCGAACCAATCCGAACTCTACAATACTGACCCACATGGCTATGATTTTTGCACAGTTTATGGATCACGATTTTACTTTGGGTCAGGGCCAAGGCATTGACTGCGAGCCACCCATCAGAAATCCCGAGTGCGTCAACATAAGAATTCCTAGAGACGATGCAATATTCCGGAATCGGGAAGTTGATTTTATCGAACTGGAGAGGGATGCTCCTAGCAGGTCAACCTCCTTCTGCAAACTGGCCCCTCGAGAGCATACAAACACTCTAACAGCCTACATTGATGCTTCTAACGTTTATGGATCAACTGAGGAGGTTGCTGATTCGGTTCGCGCTCCAAATGGCTTGCTAAGGGTTATGGAGCATCCAGATGGTAAAAGGTTTATGGATTTGCTACCTGCACGTACCGAGACCCCAGAGACTTTTTGTCCATCGCTAGATCCAAACAGACCGTGTTTTTTGGCAGGAGAAAGTAGGAATAATGAGAACCAAGGTGAGAACCGTATTGCTTTGATGTTCAATGGCCTTGGTGAAAAGTGCCAAAAATTGACTTTTTTAAACACAGAAGCTTCAACTTAGGGTTATTTTGTAACTTTCAGGTCTTAGTTCAGTCCATATCATATTCGTGCGCCACCACAACCGCATCGCCACGTTTTTCCGTAAAAGGACAAGATGGGGACCCGAAAGGATTTACCAGGAGACCAGAAGAATCGTCGCAGCCCAATTGCAAGTGATTACATACAACGAATTCTTGCCATTAGTTTTGAGTGAGAGAACGGTAGGTTTTTTACATGCAAAATGACACTTATAATAATAATTACATTAACAATAGTGATGATGATAATGACAATCCACTTGAATTGGAGCCTGCGATCAGTCGAAAACTAGTGACTTGTCGGCGGATAACTTAAGAAAAACACGCAACCTCGAAGGGTCGACACCTTGATACGGTCATGAGATACTGGTCAGCAGATATCCTGTTTTGACAGCTGTCAATTGACCAAATTAAGGATATGCAATATCAGGCTGCAGGCTCCCACGCTAGCTAGAGAGTGTGAGATTTCACATGGGTTCCCCTGTGGTGCGGACGGACAGGTGTTCGGACGGATGGTCAGACGGACGTTTGGTCACGTGACTACCAATATTTCTCGGATAGATAGATGACCAAATTTTCTTAGCTATGGGGCTCCGCTAGCGCGCGCGTGGAGCTCCGGTATAACTTGTAGCGGTGCTAATTAGGTTATGAAACCCTGATCCTGAAAAAAAAAGTGAGAATTACCCTGATCCCACTCAAGCTGAATCTCTTAAAGCGTTTAAACTGGCAGAAGTAAAGTGCATTTTCAGCAGCAGAGTAAATATGAGGAAGTCATGTACTAAACCTATATACGAGTTAAGAAACAGAGTAGAAGCCGTACCATAACAATGGGAATTTTTTTTCACAGGATGTAGTTTCACATTATTTGAATGTCGGTTTCATTGGAGGATCCCATGTTAACCGTGTTCAATATTGTTGTTTTTTTTTCCTATTTTTGTTTTATTTTATTTCCTAACCACATAAAAAAGGAATGCTCTGACCCGCTCTAAATTTAATCGTAGAACATGTTGCTCTGATTATACAAGGAAAGCAATTGTTGTTCTTGTTTTTTCCTGTTGTTTTGTTTTTTTCCGCACTACACAGATCACAAAGTTTGGTCTCAGGCTACTCACCGGAACGAGGTTTTTCAATGGCTACGACAGAAGAGTTAATGCTCAAATGACCGCTGGGTTTTCCGTGGCTGCCTACCGATTTGGCCACACCTTGATTCAGGAGTGGTTTCGACGATTCAATCAACGTAGTTTCCAACACAGAGGAAAATCAGAATTTCGGCCCATTCCTGTATTGGACTTTGAAAATCCACAGTACTTGTACGAGACATGTCAGGGAGGTGTGGATGCCATTTTGAGGGGATTAATTAAGGATCCCGCGGGAAAGGCTGACGGGTAAGTAAATGAAAACTTACTTAAATGCGGGTTCTTTATCTACACAAGCAAGCTTGAAAAATGGAACTAGATTTGTGGAGGAGTGAAATGATTGAATTGCGGAGAAGCAGGAAGAAGGAGGGTTAAAGGGGATGTCAGCTGGAGAGCATGCGCTCTGAGGTTATGCAAATTACTTTCAACTGTCAAAATTCTATTGTTCTTAAAGCGTGACTTTCTCCGTGTGCGCTCCGAGGTTATGCAAATTACTTTCAACTGTCAAAATTCTATTGTTTTTAACGCGTGACTTTCTCCATGTTCTCTGTCACGTCCAGGGCTCCGAGTTTAGAGAGGTTAACAAGCGAAATGGGTATAGATAAGGGATATTTCAATAGAATTTACGGAATGTTTCTTCTCTGGTTATGCTAGATCAAGAATAAAATTGTGACGACAATTTTACTTGTAGTTTTGGAGTAAAAACGCATGCCATTCATAAAATAGTGCGCAAACAAAAATTCAACAACAACATATTGCCTTAATCAACAAAATAAATCGACGTTGTATTTTACAAACGAGCTACAAAAGACGCTAGACCGAAGATAAAGACCAAGACTGTTTCAAATCATTAACAATTAGACTTGTCTGTCGCTAGTGATTTTATAATTTAGATGCTGATAGAACAAGAGACATCAAGTCTTTGTTTTGATCTTAGGGAAACATACATTATCGCGCAAAATTGTTCGATCGTGCCGAATCACTGCGACGTCGAGAAAAACAGAACCAAGCATCATTGGTATATTACTCCGCTATAAGCAGTCCGTTGATAAAAAGGGAAAGTAAACTCTGCTATTTTCGAAAAATATGCTCCAACACAAACAGTTCAAAAACATGGCATTTACAGGATCTAACTCGTACTAAGGTGCCTCTCTAAGTCCGTTGAGAACAATCTGGACGAGCAAACGGTCGTGTTTATCTTTGCCGTGAATCCAGATAAATACAAGAAGGAATCTAGCCGAATTTTATAATGTTTCCTTCGCCAGGAGTTTAGTTTGGTCACGAAACTCATGGTCAGATGCTCTTGTAATCGTTTACCAAAAACGGCCGCCGCCAACTCGATAGCCGCTTCATTATATGTCCACATACTTTGAGCACAAGAAAAATCCAGGAGCCAGCAACCTCTAAAATAACTCAATAGAAAGGTTCTGTGAACTATAGGGAAGATTCCATCAAAGATTCCATCATTCATTGTGGAGTAGCCATCATTAAATCTGCCATTACAACGGCCGCTGATAAGAGGACACAGTAAATCCACGTAAAAACATTCCACAGGCAAACAATTTCAAAATAACGCCAAAAAATTATTCTGTAATCACCATAGAACGATTCTTAATACAATTCGCTAACTATCCAACGATGGCTGAGATTTAGACAGATAAAAACAGCCTTCCAAAATCTCCGACAGAACTTGAAAAAGACGGGCCATCTTTTCCAAGTTTGTTTTCATTGGCTCGCGCATGCGTGTGGGGTGACATAGCCCCTTTAAGTCAAAAATATGTTTTGTTTTTTTTTTACTTGAAAGATTAAGTGTGCCTTCGCCCTCAGACTAAGCATAATTCGCACGCTAAGAAGGAGTGACCCGGAACTGGAACATTTGTTTCATTCTGCAGTGGACAATGAAAGCGGCAGGAAATAGAATTTGCATAATTACAATAAGACTCGCCACAGGCGAGTTATTGCTTATTCCCCCTTCGAGAACAAAAATTAATCAATAAATACTTTTCCTAGTTTTTAGTCAACCAACCAAAATCCAAGACATTCATCGATCTGAAAATAACTGAAAAAAAAAAACATGTCAAACCGGTTAACCACCTAAATTAAAAATAGCACAGGAGCTTATCTGAATGTTAAACATGAGATAAAGGCAAATGGCTATGACGTCATCGGCGTTAATGTACTCTCCCGCACGTTAAAGAGATTCTCTCGCAAAAATGGATAAATCGGTGCGCCCTGTACTACTTTTCCATTTATTGTGATCCGTAATACAGTCAATCGAACACGTCCTAAGTAGAACTGAAATCATTTTTCGCGAAGTTTTGATTGGCCTAGACACCACGACGTTACCTCGGTTAAGAACAAACAATGGTCTTGCCATTAGTGTAAAAATTGTATTTTGCTGCAGGCAGTGGTCTTTTCATGCCGAGTTTGGTCCACCCGTAAAGGAGGAAAAACTGCATGTAACTGTTTCGAGATTGCACTTTTGTTTTTTGTCATAAGATTACAAAATTAAGTGGTCGTAACTTGAAAGTTTTGGGATTTATACATTCGTTTGACTTTGATGGCTTAATGAGGGTCTTAACAACCTCCTCCCTCCATTTAACCAAGATCTGACACCTGATGGAAATAGGGCAAAGTTTGCGGGTACAACATCTCCTGCCAAGTTTTAGTAAACCTTTCTTAAATCGTTAGAAAACATGGAGTTCAACAGAAAAAAAAGGAAATGCGTTTAAGGTCGAGGAAATGGTAAATTTTTTTTTTTTAATTTATGGATTTTGCTGTTTAAAACAGGAGATTTTCGAGCTCTGTGCAAGAAAACCTAAGAAGGGGTGAGAGCGATTTGTCTGATCTAATCAGCATCAACATCCAAAGAGGACGTGAACGTGGAATTCCTGGATACACTAAGTATCGAAACCTTAGGTTATGCGGACTGCGAAAGGTGAGATCGTTCGATGACTTGGTACGAAACGCCGGCTTTGCCCCGCGGGACGTGGCTAATTTGAGAAGAATTTACACAAATGTTCATGATATTGACTTTTTTGTCGCTGGTGAGTAATACAATATCATACCTTTCACTTTTAAATTGTTATCTTTTCAATTGTTAAGATTTAAATAGCAGTTATTTTCCGAAGTCAAGAATGACAAGTTTGTTGAAGATGATAATTCAGCCTTGAAAATTCCTGAAAACCAGGAAAGCTGTAACATACTGGCAAACTTCAAGAGAAAAATTCTGCGCACTTTTCACTAACGATAAGAGGTTGAAAAAGTGGACCATTCCTGTTCGCGGATGTTTTCACCAGTGGGCCAGTCTTGGATATCTTGTGCTTGAGCTATTGATAAATCCGTTTATTTTAGAGATCCATCCTGACCATCGGATTCTGAACATAGAAAAAGACCCAGTGGGACAAGTTTAAAACCATTGTCTTCTCTCTTATATACGCACATTGATGATGCAAGCTTTATTTTTAATTGCACCCCTTCTCAGGAATGCTTGAACCGAGACCTAGTGATGGAGGAGTTCTGGGACCTACTTTTCAGTGCATTGTGGCGGAGCAGTTCCGCCGGCTCAGAGTTGGAGATCGTTTCTGGCACGAAAATGCCCCAAACCCAAGCTTGAACACGGATCGAACGGCGTTCAATGCTGCCATGCTAAGGGAAATTAGGAAAACAACATTTGCTAAAATTATCTGCGACAATGCCGACAACATCCCATTTATAAATAGGAAGGTTCTTGAACAGAGTAAGAGAAGAGTTGCATGCAGTGCTCTACCAACGGTCAGTCTTGAAGCATGGGTAAGACGAAGGCAAGGCGACTCTGGGTAAGCAGCTTTAATGTAAAGATTTCCCTGTCTACCCGCGGTAATAGTTGTTCTTAAAATGTCCGCTTGTTATGAAGTAAAAGGCTACAGGAATATAACGAACATAGCAAGCTAGCATTTTTTAGTAACCCTATCTTGAAGTCAGGAGAATGCGTGCCACCGCAGTTAAGGTTTCTTATCTTCGATATTTTGAAAGCGATTGGTTTACACAAATAACCTGCGCCTTTAACATGCTGATGGTCTATTCCCTAAACAAGTTTTGGCCAAATTTTGTGGCCGACTTTTGTTACTGGTTTTAAGCATATGACTTCATGATTGACATCAGTTTAAGTCACTTTTAAGCTTAAATGCGACTTTCTTACACTTGTTAATTCAAGAAACAGATAAAATGCCCTTGAACGCTGCATAATCCTTTATTTCAACATATCTTAAAAGCTGAACCCAAAAAAATAGTTAATCTGAATTGCAGCAAAATTCACGATGGCGATCACTTTGCAGGACGTCACAAGTACCAAAAAAGGCGATGTCCAATAGGCCTTTTTCAAAAATATCATAATACTCGTTGTTGTCCCTCAAAAACTTTTCATAAGCATCATTTTCAAATTCTCTTGGGGCGATTGTAAGTCCCAAGAGAAATTGAAAACAATGCTAATACAAAATTCAAAATTTTGGAGGGACATTAAAACAAAGAGTATTATGGTATTTTTCAAAAAGGCCTATACTAGTTGTATGATATTTCATCATTTGCATTGCCTTCTATGATACATCAGCGATAACATTTAAGTTTGTAGGTGTAAAGGTTAAACATCAATTAAGTACCATATGCATCTCACGAAAATGGGTAAAGTCCCGCTGCTAATCTTTAAACGTGATTTCTCCCATCCTGCTGGTTGCGGTTCTTCCACTTCTTCGATACATTTTCGTTCTTGTTTATTTTATGTTATTTTACATTATTATATATATATATATATATATATATATATATATATATATATATATATATATATATATATATATATATATATATATATATATATATATATATATATATATATATATATATATATATATATATATATATATATATATATATATATATATATATATATATATATATATCCATATATATATATATATCCAGTTAGATGTACATCCCCGTTGCACCAGCTAAAGTCTACACCAAACGTCTGATCGAGAAAACGGAACAGTTCTTAAGCAGAATGAGATGGAAAGCTTTCCACTATTTAAATCCAGTTACAGGAGCAGAAAAGGAAACATTCGGCTTCAAAACTAGGAACTGCCCGCCAGTCGTTGAAGAAATGAAAAGTTTTGAAGAAGGTATGATACACATTATACAAAACATTTCTTTTAAAGGCACTCAAAGCCAATTTCAAGAAGGCCTAGAAGAGGACATTGCTTCCGTAAAAAATGACAACCGCTTGTTCGTTAAAGCAGATAAGTCCACAAACTTTTATAAATTGGACGTGCCAGAATATAAACGACTGCTAGAGGCCAACGTAACAAAAACCTATAAGAAAGCCGACATTAAGCAGCTCACGAAAATTGACGAGGAAGCCAGGACCATCACAAAAAAACTTAGCATAGACGACCGGGTAGAATCTATGGCAATGAAAGAAGCGTTTATAACGCTAAAGGACCACAAAGAAAATTTTGAAAACAAGCCTACTTGTAGACTGATTAATCCTTCAAAACCGGAGATAGGGCGTATAAGCAAACAAATCCTGGAAGAAATAAATCGGAAACTCGTCGACATCACAAAAGTCAACCAGTGGAAGAACACATCCTCTGTGCTCCAATGGTTCAAGCAGCTGGCTAATAAAGGCGGCTCGGCATTTATATGCTTTGACGTCGTAGAATTTTACCCCTCAATTACCGAAGCCCTCCTAAAACGCGCCCTTGACTTCGCCTCTGAACATGTGAACATCTCAGCCAACGAACGACAAGCAGTCATCAATTCCAAGCACTCCCTGCTATTCAGCAAAGGCCAACCATGGGAAAAGAGAAATTCAACATCAAATTTTGACGTAACCATGGGAAGCTACGACGGAGCGGAGACTTGTGAACTGGTGGGCTGTTATCTCCTGTCGCAGCTAAAGCAGATCCCTGGAATCGAAATCGGCCTTTACAGAGACGACGGGCTTGCCGTACTCAATCAAACACCAAGGCAGATAGAGAAGGCAAAAAAACAAATATGCCAGATATTTGCGAACAACAACCTGAAAATCACAGTTGATGCAAACAAGAAAGTTGTTAACTTCCTGGATGTAACACTGGATTTAAACACCGGAAAATTCAAACCATACTCCAAGCCATCCACCACCCCGCTTTACGTTCACAGTCAATCGAACCACCCACCAAACATCCTCAGAAACATACCCGCAGCAATTAACCGGCGGCTATCCAGCGTTTCTTCCGACCACGAGGTTTTTAATGAAGCATCGGCTCCGTATCAGGAAGCATTACGAAAGAGTGGCTATGCTTTTAAACTAGAATTCAAGCCACCACCACAGCAACCACCATCACAGAAACGCAAACGACAAAGAAATGTTATATGGTTTAATCCACCATATAACAAAAGCGTCAAAACCAACATCGGACGTGCGTTCATCAGCCTCATTGAAAGATCGTTCCCAGCGGGCCACAAGCTGAGGAAAATTTTCAACAGGAACACCATAAAGCTCAGCTACAGCTGCATGCCCAACGTCAAGCAAATAATAGATGGCCACAACAAAGCTATCCTGAAGATGGCAGAAACAGCGCAGCCACAGAAAAACGACGAGAACACGTGTAGCTGTAGGAAAAAAGAAGACTGCCCGCTAAACGGAGAATGCTTGGTGAGCGAAGTAGTGTACCAAGCCACAGTCACAACCGGAGACGAAAAGGAGACATACATCGGTCTCACAGCTACTCAGTTCAAGGCAAGATACAGAAACCACCTGATGTCATTTAGGCATGAAAAGAGAAGGAATGAGACTGAGCTGAGCAAGCACCTGTGGCAGCTAAAGGAGGCAAA